TAATACAGTAGTTTAGTATATAACCTAGTTATTTAATAAAATAACGAAAAAACTATATATAATTGGTGCATATACATATCTGCTTATCTTTATGTACGAGAAAAAAATGTCCACCAAATATGATGTAGGAAATGTAAAATTAAGTTAGTATAAATTTTACATAGAAGTAAAGATATTTTATACCTCAAAAATAAAGTGTACTCACGGGATATTAGCAACATGTATAATCATTTAGTAAAGTACTTAACGTTTAGTATAGATTTCTCAGAGATGAGATATTTTTACGCAGTAAAAAGTATCTTACATGTTCAAATGGATAAGCAGCTGTCATCATACCAAATTTCATCAAAATCTGCGCAGTGGTTTTCTCGTGATGCGTTCTCAGACAGATAGACAGACAGACAAAAATTCTAAAAACTATATATAGTCCAGTCCATATCGATAATAATGATTATTTCAATAAGATTTTGTACATTTCAATAAGATATTGCATAACAATGTAGATTGTACTCAATTAGAATTTTATTGTAGGTAAGTATAGATTTACATTAAGATAACGCAAAGATTTTGACATACATCGATACAACAAACATACTAGCTTCCGTATATTAAAAATTAATTACTTTGAAACTTGGTCATTGAAAGAGTAATATCTAACAATAACTTTAAATAACAAAAATGCTGTTTTATGTGAAAAAAATACCATCATTTTTAAACGATTGCGATTTCGTATTCTCCAAATACTCATATATATTTTTTTAATTACAGACAAACTATTCAATTTTACTTATAATTATTATTACATATGTGTACAGAAACACTCAGCAGCTTCAGCTAATAATATTTTATTACACAAAAATGAGTTAAAAAAAACGTAGAACTATAAAATTTACTATAAAATTCTTTTGCAATCAATGAATAAATATAGTGCTTGTGTTGAAATTCAAGTTATTTTAATGACAAACTACAATGTATTGATGTGCTAAGATGTGACCTTTTTAACTGGTATTAAAATATCGTTTAGCCTTGTTACTCGCTGCAATACCATTGCAAAAGTCGTTGGAAAATATTATGTGAGGTAGTTGAATTAATAGTTTTTACTTTAATTTCATCTTTCTTCATTGTATTATGTATATACAATAACAGAACGAAGGGGTAGCGATTGAAAATAGCGACAAAAATCTATTTATTCTATCCAGAATGTAGATAATTCAACCAAGTCTGTAATAGATAAATGAAGTACTTAACTTCCAACGAAAAAAAACGTACTTAAAGTAATATAAATTGTAAAATTGTTATATTGACAACAAAGTAAGATCTTACTAAGCGATTTTCAGTCAAAGCAGTAAATTCCATTCTCATCTGCGCGGGGGATATTATAACACATATGGTATTCTCGCAATTAATTCGCTAATTTCAATGGGACACGATCGAAGAAGAAAATCTTCTTTAAGATGCTAGACGTAAGACCGCCAACGTGAGCTATTACTGAGAGTTTCTTTACAGAATAAACCTCTAATTAAATTATCCTAAACCGAGACTCGAATCTAGGACTACAGCCATCCATATTAACCACAAAACTAGCAAAGCAGTTACTAAATAATAAGTAGTTTATTGAGAAAGGAGATTTTACATCAGGGTCATGATAAATGTACGACAAACTTTGCGGAATTCTATTGCCTCAAATGACGTATGAAAACAAGTTGTAGACAAAGAAAGCCTGTGAGAACATTAGATAAAGCACAATTACACCATTTATATACTAAATCACTAATATTATAAGGTGGTAAAGTTTGTGAGTTTGTGGGTTTGAGTTTGTGACGTTGTAGGGGGTAATCTCTAAATCTACTGGACCGATTTAGATGAAATTTGGTAAGAAGATAGTTTGAGACCCTGGAAAGGGCATAGGACACTTTTTATCCCGGAAATCATCCCTTAAAGGGGTGAAAATGGGGATGAAAGTGTGTATGGGGAACCAACCTAGGGACGAACCCGAACGAGGCGAGAGTGAGTCGCTAGTAAGTAATAAAATGTATTTATCGTTCCATTGCTGGGCTACACAAAGGAATATAGTAACGAAAAATTCTTCTATCGCTAATACGTCATATTTTTTTTCGATAAGACTAATACAGACAAATTCAAAACAAACAAACACACTTTCACATTTATAATGCTAATATGGATTTGCTAAAATAAAACATATGTATTATCGCTTATATTTATATCTTCTTTTATAGCTTCGAAAGGGCTTCCATCAGTTTTAAGCCAATTAACATAGATAGCTAGAGAGTAATTTGAAAAGCGCGGCACAAGATACAAAAAAATTCGAAGCAACATTTTAAAAATAAATAAGTGGCTCCGCCACCGTGCGGGCTAAGTGCGGGTTGGCAGACTTCACTTGTCTTTTAAAGACTTGCTAGGTTATCTCAGACATGCAGGTTTTCTCACGACATTTTCCTTCACCGTAAGACAAGTGGTCATCATGTAGGAAATGATTCGAACATGAGAATATCAGAGGTGCGTTACCGGGATTTAAACCCGCGTCAGCCGTAAAATAATGTAAATAATATTAAATTATCATGAAATAAAAAAAAACATTTAAAGGTATAACTACGATTCTTATATAAAGTTTGTAAGAAGGCATGATCTTAGACTCTATTGAAGTAAAACAGCGTGGTAAAACTAACACAAGTTTATATAAACTTTCTCTAACTCAAAACATGCCTAGACACGAATGCCAAGATCTTGTTCGGTACTTGCGGTTTCAAATTTAATCAGCTGCTTCATCAATTTGCTTAAGCAGCAAAGTTTTAAACTGAGTGTTTAAGATAACTTTAACTTTAAGACTAATTCAAAAGCGGTAGATGATAGTCGACGATATTATAATACAACTAGCGACTCACCCTCGCCCCGCACGGATTCGTCCCTATTTACGTTTTAACGTTTAGTATAGATTTCTCAGAGATGAGATATTTTCCCGCAGTAAAAAGTATCTTATATGTTGACCCGGATAACCAGCTATCCTCATACCAAATGCCAAAATGAATTCAAAATATTTCAAAATATCAAAACAGTCCAGTGGTGTTCTCGTGATGCGTTCCCACATAGACAGACAGACAGACAAAAATTCTAAAAACTATAGATTCGGCCAATCGATATCTATATACATAATTACTATTTTAACAAGATTTTCAAAAAAATATTTATTGTACAGATTCGACTCGGTCAGAATTTTTTATATGTATAGATTGTAGGTACATACAACAGAATATTTTATTTAAACTTTATTTAAAGAAGATAGGGTAAAATTTAATCATCAGTTGTTAAAATTTCTGCCTGTCAGTTAACTCGTTGCTTATTCTATTAACTTCCAAACTAAACGAAATTCAATATGACTTTGAGGGTGAAGCTCTTTTTTATAGTACACGTATTTCATCTATACATATAATAAAATTCTAACTAAGCCGAATCTGTACATTAAATATTTTTTTGGAAAATCTTATTGAAATAGACATTATTATGGATACAGAGGCCGAATCTATAGTTTTTAGAATTTTAGTCTGTCTGTCTGTCTGTCTGTACGTCCGTCTGTCTGTCTGTCTGTCTGTTACCGCATCACAGAAAAACCACTGGACAGATTTTGATGAAATTTTGTATGGTCGTAGCTGGTTATCCGGGTCAACATATAGGATACTTTTTACCGCGGGAAAATACCTCATTTTTTGAGAAAAACTACAAAAGCTGCATTGAAAGAGTATACTAATATGTAGAACCTAAGAATTTGATCTTTGGTCGTATGAACGCGGGCGGAGTCGCGGGCAATGCTAGTGTATAATATTTAAAAAATACAATACGAAACATGCCACGTAAAACTACTTCTATGACACCAATAATATTACTTGCACTTTCTTAATGTACGTTAGGTTTAAGACTATGTTCTTGGTAATTTAATCTAGTACCGAAGACATTTCCAACACGAATTTAACTTAAGTTTTATTCATAGAAAATAACATAAAATTAATTAAAACTACTAACCCATGGAGCTATAAATAAGTATAATTTTGCTTGAATATTATAAGACGTGATGACACGAACGACCCTCGCAGCTGTAGTAAGTTACAATCATAACAAGCAAACGTCAGGCCTTCAATGCCTATCCGTTGAATATTTATACCAATAAAACCCTGTCACGATCACCAGCCAAAACAAAATGAACAGACCAATATATTCACTTCATTTATCGATGTAATATAAGTGTGAAATTAAAAATATTTTGTCATTGTGAGAAAGGCCAGATGGATTTCAGCAGTCTCATTTCAATAGTTCGATTAGATCAAAGGTTAAAGTTATGAATATGATTACATTACACCATCTCATTGGTCTAGTAGTTAAAAGTTGTGAATTCGAGTCCCGGACGAGGCTTAATATTGTTATTGGGTATATTGGGTAACAACCCTTGTATATCCAGTATCTCAGAAAGTACCTAAAGACTTCAGTCTTGCGCCAAATCTGTCACTGATCATGAAGAATTTTGAGAGTCAAAACAATATGAGTACCTACACTTGTTTAAATGTACACACTTGTGCATATATCTCCTGAACAATAGCTATACTCACTCACTGAGAGTGTAGTGGCCCGTCACCGAAAAATCGTTCAAAAAGATAATATCTATACATACTCGTGTAATAAAATTCTTACTGAGCCGAATCTGTGCATTAAACATTTTTTGGAAAATCTATTTTAAATAGTCATTATTATCGATACAGAAGCCGAATCTAGTTTTTAAAAGTCTTGTCAGTCTGTCGGAGACCATCACGGGAAAACCACTGGACAGATTTGGATGAAATTTGGTATGATGAAGCTGGGTATCCGGGTCAACATATAGGATACTTTATACTGCGGGAAAATATCTCATCTCTGAGAAATTTATACTAACGCACCTAGGGTCGCACCCGAACGGAGCGAGAGTGAGATGCTAGTTTTAGTATAAAATTACTTACTTGACATCTTCGATCTTGGGATATGTGCATATCCTCAGAGTCTTCGTATTCGAACCAACGGCGTACAACTTGCCGTTAGGATGGAACTCAGCGCACCGGACTGCTTGCAAATCTTCTAAAACTGTGACTGGTTTGAACGTTGGCCGTGAACCGTTCACCTCTGGCACGGCCGCTGGAGTCGATAGGGGTGCGCTCTGCCCGCCATTTCGATTTTGTGTCTGTAATAATATTTATTATAAGTATTTATGTTTATACGTCGAATATTAGCTAGCGTGGTGGGCTTTTGACTGATCCTACCTCGCATTGATGGAGGCCTGTGCCCAGCAGTGGGATATTAAAAACACATTATTATACCTGCATGTTTGTATACAAATATATATTTCAAATAAAAGACAAACATAAAATCTATTCACAAAGTTATATTGTAAAATTAGAGACTGTAGAATCCGTATTATTTGAAAATCCTAAGCGCTACAGATAAACGGCTGTTACTTGAATTGGAAGCGTTATTACATGGTAAATTGGCGAATTAGTAGCGATTTGTATAGCTCTATTAATTTGACTTAATATCTCGTATGTTCTCTTGATATATATATATATATATATATATATATATATATATATATATATATATATATATATATATATTTGGATCAGATATAAAACATTATTACATATAATTGATATAATACCTTTGTGTAAACGTTTATATTCAGTAATTTATTTGATGAATACCTTCAATAGGTTGATCGAAAACAGCCCAAAGGGAATTTTTAAAGAACGACTTGAGTTCAAATGGTCGGTAATAAATAAATTGATCTATAAAATGTATCATAAATCTTTATTTTAGTTGATTTTACAATAATAAATTTTGTATAGATTTATGAATATTAAGCTTTTCTTTAAGTGGCATTCTTCAATAAGTCTATATTATTATGTTACTGAAGGATTTGATTGTTTGTTTATTCGTAAGAATACTAAATAAAACTATCTTTTCGAATATTTTCGGGGATTTATTTTGATTTTCGGGTGCCAATAAAAGAAACGAGGGTCTCTCCCTCATGAAAACTAGTTTTATTTAAAGTGTCAAGTATAAGCTGTAATAACTATAAGAAAGTATTATGTAGTTTTGCAATTTATAAGCTACTAGCAGAACCCGCGGCTTCGCTAGCGCTATAACTACAAAAAATCTCTAAAAATGTAGTTTCGTACAAACTTTCATCCCCTATTTTACTCCCTTATAGGGTGAATTCCAAAAAATACTAAAATACGTATTTAATTAATTTTATTAAAGAGCATTAATACCAAGTTTCAAGTAATTCTGATCATAAATATTTTTGGGTTGTTTTATAACGTGTTTTCCCGTGGGAATTAAATAATCTCCCTCTGTAAAAAGCAGCCTATGTCACTTTCAACTATCTCCTCATAAAAAATCACGCCAATCCGTCACTCCGTTTCGACGCGAAAGAAGGACAAACAAACAAACACACTTTCACATTAATTATAATATTAGTATTGAAGTATGGATTTCATGAGGAATAACATAGGTTATCTAACATCACGACACGATCTATACATAAATAGCAATGAGACAAATACACATAACGCGTGTAAAGTATCGGACAAAGTGTCTAATAAAAAGTACACGAGATAATCTGAACGCATGACGATGTTTCTCTTTTTCGCTCATTATGGCGCACACTATATTTATTTCCAGTGATACAATCTACACGAATGCAATGCTCTATGTGAATAATAATTTTGACTTGGTGTGTAATCATATATTAGAGATAGAGGAAAATTTTATCTTTTAGACAGTTCAACTATATGAAAACACTCGCAACTCACCCTCGCTCCGCTCGCTCGGGTTCGTTCCTAGTTACGTTTTAACGTTTTTGAAATATTTCTCAGATATGAGATAATATGTTACAATAAAAATATCCTATATGTTGACCAGGATAACCGGCTATCATCATACTAAATTTCATCAAAATCCCTCCAGTGGTTTTTCAGTGATGCGGTAACAGACAGACAGACAGTCAAAAATTCTAAAAACTTAGATTCGGCCTCTCTATCGATAACACGAGTAATGTCTATTTCAATAAGATTTTTCAAAAAAAAATTTAATGTACAGATTTGGCTTGGTTACAATTTTATTTTTTTATTTTTTTTTTTGATTCATGATTAATTACATACATATATGTGAATGTATGTCATAAAATACATAATATGTATACCTACATATTACGAGAGCCGAATTTATTAGAAGAGCAATTCTGCTCATAAGCAGCAACAGTTTCTACTATTTCTATGATTCCGTAAAGACGTTTAGAAAAGGAAAGCTAAAAGAATTATAAATTATTTACATTATTTTTAACATTCATACATACATGCATTTTCAAATCATAACTTAAAAACACAAAATACGGAAGCAACACCAGCAATAAATAGGTGTGCAGGCAATTTCCATAATGACTTAGGCCTATTAAGTACGTTGAAAATTAAAAAAATATATGATAATTGATAACATATAATAAAAATAAATAAATAAATATGTTGGGACATTAACACACAGCACCATCTAGTTCCATGGTAAGCTACCAGGCTTGTGTTATGGATCCCGGGGCAGAGGCTGACTGCTACCGGGCGCGTCCCCCGGGTGGCGGATAGGGGAATGCCACTCGCGACTGTTCCCCCAGACAGGAGCTTGTGGTACCGGAGCAATCCGGCGCGGACCAACAGCCAGGAGGGGCAGGGGGAGCGGTGTCAGGAGGGCGCCGTCTCCTCCTTGGAGGTAGCGCGGTGTCTCCGGCCGTTTTGCGGTAGGAGGCGCTGCGCGGGCCGTGCTGCCGGGGCTAGCCCGTCGGTGCGGTGGCTGGAGCGGGGCCATTTCGGTGGTCCTGCGTCTGGCGTGGTTGTCGGCAGCCATCTTGGTCCGGAGGTGGGCCGACGGTAGGGGGGCCGCGGGGGAAGAGGAGTGTCGGTATGGCGATGCGCCGCTCGTCCCTATCTCCCGCGGCCTAGCGGGGCCACCACCGTTAGATGGTGGACGTGGTGGGGCTGCAGAGGAAGAGGAGTGTCGGTGTGTCGTTGCCGCTCTCCCTGTCCTCTGCAGCCGATTGGAGGTGGCCTACTTCGGTGGGCGGAGGTTGGATTTGATGGGGCTGCTCCGGGTACCTCTCTGGTGTAGCAGAGTTGACTGTGGAGCAGCCTCATCGGTATGGTGGTCAGCCATTGGCAGACCTGCCGCCGGGGCGCCGTAGTAGTTATGCGCGAGCGATCCTGCGGCGTCCCATTAAGGCGGATGGGAGGGGAATGTCGGGTTTTAGTGGGTAGTACCGGCTCTTCTAGCCGGTGAGCCCCACATAACCACCTGGGGGGGGAGGGGGGGTTTATCAGGTGGCATGCGTAAATGCATTTCCCGACAAAAAAAAAAAAAAAAAAAGGCTTGTGTTATGGATACCAAATAGTTGATACACTACACACATATAACTTTAAATACATACATATTATAAATATAAACACTCATGACTGGAGTACAAACATTCGTGCTCATCACACAAATGAATGCGCCCAGCGGGACTCGAACCCGCGACCGCTGGCACAGCAAGTAGGGTCACTACAAACTGAGCCAAGCGTGTCGTCAAAAATAGTTAAACTTATGGTCACGAGTAACAGCTATATACATAAATTATATAAAAAATATATGAATACTAAGCCAACCGTTAAACATATGAACCGCAAACCAAGCGACCTGAATCCTCTATATACTTACTATTATATATAATTATATAGTGGATTTAAATACATTGGAAATATAACTTGACTACTTTAAGACTGACTGACCTGCACTAAGTGCCCTTGTCATTGAAATTATTTTATACTAAATTCCTTGGTGCAATATGTGATAGTTTATAAAGAACGTTACGATTTAACGTTTAGATAGAGATGAGATATTTTCCCGCATCTATCATATCCTATCATCATATCAAATTTCATCAAAATCTTATTTCCAGTTTCACGTGACGCGGTCACAGACAGACAGACAAAAATTCTAAAAACTTTAGATTTGGTCTCTGTATCGATAATAATGTCTATATCAATAAGATTTTCCAAAAAAATATTTAATGTACAGATTCGACTCAGAATTTTATGTATGTAGAAACGATGGTGAGTCGCTACTAAACTATAAATATAAAAATTAATGTTTCTTTGTATGTTTGTCCCCTATATGCGTAAACCATTCATTCAAATGTGATGAAACTTTAGTGATATATTACGTACGCCTGCTAAAGTTCCTGGCATAAAAAAAAACCTTTGTATAGACTATACGACTGGGGACGCACCTAAGTGAAACTGGGGTAAGTTGCTAGTAACCGATAAACATTCAAAGGTATATGTACGTATATCTTTCTGTAAAAGGAAAAAAATTCAAAGTGTCAACATGTCAAAACAATAATTCCTTCAAAATTTATTTAAAAACTAGCGAGCCATCCTCGCTTTGTTCGGGGTTCGTTTGTTGTTATTATTAGTTTGTGACGTTGTAGGGGGTAATCTCTGGATCTGGTGAGCCGATTTAGATGAAATTTGGTAAAAACATAGTTTGAGACCCTGAGAAGGACATAGGATACTTTTTATCCCGGTAATTATCCCTTAAGGGGGTGAATTTAGGGATAAAAGTTTGTATTGAGAAGCAAGCTAGCGACGAACCCGAGCAAAGCGAGGGAGAGTCGCTAGTATATTATATATCAACGTGTTAAGTTGACTTCTTTACGTCATATTTCCTAAAAGGATTTAGTAACAAGTATAGCTACTTTTAATTTTATTATCACGCAAGCAAAGCCGCTAGTAAAAACTAGTAATACAAATTATACTAATAAGAGCAGCAACTAACTATAACTAACTACTAAATGATCACCTCTTAAGCAAGTAGGATGCTGAATTTTCTTTCTAATGAAGCACATTCTATTGATATATTTTCCATTTTATTAATCAATAACTTTATGTAAATTACACATTTCAAATATAAAAACATCGCCTCTATCTATTTACTATGTGAATGCTTTTGTATGGAAGAAGTAAAAACGTGGGAACAGAGATTTATTTCTTTTGAAAAAGTTTTAAATACTATATTTACTCGTATGTATGTACGAGTATATGTATGAGATGGATGCAATGAAACATATAATTACTGTAAGCAAGATACTTAACTATATTT